ACATTACTGCACAGGCAGTGTAGAAAAGCTACACAGTGGAGTATGACAACACAGAGCCCTCATGCATGGCAGGATACCCATGAGTAGTTTAAGCTGGTTGGCAGGCAGTTTCCTATGTTACATCAGCACCCTTGATTTAGTCAGGAGTCATTCTGCAAGAGCAATCCAGAAGACCTTTCAGTTATTAGAAAAGCCTGAACACCAAGACACAAAATGAGTGGACGTTAAGGAGAACCATGATGCAAAAACATGGGCTATGGAGAAGATAGTTCTGCCAGAGAGCAGAGCAGTAAGACACAGAGGTGAAGCAGCAAGAGTTCTTCAACTGCAAATACCCCAAGGAGTTTCTAACTAGAAGCCTAGCAGGGAAAGCCATGACTTACAACACCTCCATGACTCAGTTGTTACTGCAGCTCCAGTGACTCAACGGGAAGTTTTATTGCCAACTCCATCCAAATCCCACTAACACACTGGTTCCCATCCAGCGGAGCAAGCCTCACTGGTGAGACTGGTCTCAGCAGCAAGATACAAACATTACAGTGGAGCATGGCAAGGAGCCCAAGCTAACAGACTCCATTGGACCCATGCCGGTTCCACAAGACCCAGAATACCAACTGCAGCCAAGCACTGCTTGAGAAACAGAGAGCTTGGGAAACCACCACATTAGCAGATGTTGCCCCACAAGAGTTGCTTGTAGGAGGTCCAAATGTTATCTCACTTTGAGGTGAGGCTTCACAGAGCAGTAATTTTTCCGTGAGCATCCCCACAGTAGAAAGGGCACTGTCCCAAGTTTCTAGCCAGGCCAGATAAGGCTCATGGCTGTGGTGCACCAGTAGCCAGCAGAGCTGCAGCTCAGGTGAAGCACACTTGTCAGCCCTAACTTAGAGACCTGTTAGCAAAGCTGAACACTCAGCACTCCAAAGGAGACACCACATGCCTTCTGCATTTAAGAATATCTTCTCGACTCAGAAATGAGCCTATAAGAAACATCAGAAGTCCTTGCACTCTTGGTCAAAACAACTTCCCCACTGTAAGTTCACTGCCTGTATCAAAGTCTACAGAGTAACAAAAGCTCCTCTCATCTAATCCACAAATAAACAGTGTCTTTAAATATTACAGTGCTCTGATGCTAACCCAACAGCTCATAACCATCCCCCCCAAATACAATCACTTATGTTTCTGCTCATATATATTCTACTCACTTCAGAATGCTGAGATGGGACCCAGCTATAATCCCTAATTTCTTCCACATTCTTTAGCAGAGCAAAACTACAGTTACACTAGAAGGGAGCTGCTGTTCTAGCCAGCAGCTGATGCTCCCCACTGCTTTGTTAGTTCTGTCCAGTCTGTTTGTTTATGGAGAGAATTACGATTAATTCCCACAGATAAAAAGTCCATCACTTTGAGCTAAATCGCTCTAGATAAAGGCACCAGAGTAAAGGTGTTGTGCTCCTCTATAGGCAGCTTGAGATCTAGCCAATAAAGCCTTGACAAAGCAACTCACCTTGGAGCAGACGTGCAGGGGCTGGTCAGATAACCGCCCTCTTTGGCTCCACCGATTACATCGCCTTGACTCTAATGAGGGCTTAAGCACCCAGCACACACAGACACCTACATTTAGGTGCTTCAGCATCAGCTGAACGCTGTTCTGAGGGACTAGTGCCATTTGAACATAGCAAGCCCATCAATCTTCAGCTGTCAAGGAGTGCTGTATTAGACGTCTTCTACTCTTTATTATCTCAAAGCTATTAGGATGAAAACACTAACGCTGCAATGCTGAAGCACTGCAATTTTATAATTAGCAGTACCTACTCAGGAGAAGGCCCTATCTTCTCCCTCCCAAGAAGCTCCCTCCTCCCTGTAAGTAGGGCCTAAAATCCCAGCTCCTCAGATGCCAGAAACAAGTGTGGAATGTCTCTCTCACAGGTATTAGTATGGTTCTTGGACACAGGAATCACTTCAAACAAGGTTAGGACAGAGTGCTGGTATACAGGCCACCTGGAGACATCTGAGTACAGGCAATGCAAAACACATACTTAAAATGGACCGATTTTGCTGCTAAAACAGCAGCCTACATTTCAGGTTTGTACACTAACTTAATTTTAGAAGGCTTACAGATTTCTTGCACTTGCTGTAACATGTCTCAGGTTGTTAGAGAGGATTGTTTGTTTCCAGAAATTTCAGAGTGCTGCCATTAAAACGTTAGCTCTTCTCACCACTTGAAACTGAGAGAAACCTGAAACAAAGACTACAAAACTGCACTAGAGCCCCCTTACACCATACAAACCCCAGCTCATTTGCTGCTGCTTTACTCAGAGCTGACCAGATACAGCAGTCACCATTTCAGCCGGAGGTGGCCACCAGCAAGTCAGTGTTCAGATGGAGCAGCTCTGTTTACAGTGCTAGATGAATATTGTGACACTGTTCTGTGCATATTGTAGAAAAGAAGTGTTTCCTCCTTACCCACTGCCTGCATGTTTAACAAGCAAGCTGGACTACCCAATTTCTTCTAACTAGTTTATGTTCAGATGTGACATCACCCTTGGAAAAAGGTTTGGCCTGCTCTGGTAAGCTTCTGTCAACCACCAGCATGCACCTACACCAGACAAAACAATCAGAACCCTCCTCCTCTCACCATAGGGGCTGGATTGCCCACTGCCCTCCTGCAGCAGGATCAGTTGGCTTCTGGGCAGTGTTATACCTTGTAAAAGTTTCTATTTTAGAGAATAACGAGGTTAAACTCTTAAAATGGTAAGATGTATCAGCCTTCTAATTTCAAGGAAGTCCATGTCTCCATCATAATAACAGAGGGCAATTACTCTCATAAAGATTGTTTTAAGCAATAGAGTGTCACCTTGAAGGAGATCAGGAACCTCCCCAGTCATTCCTGCATGTAAGAGTACTCAGGAAGAAAACAATTATTGTTTGGACAGTTTCTTGCTCCTGTTTATTATTCCAATGACAATATACATAGATGAGCCAAGTTACATAGCAACCAAGGGCCAAGCCATGTGCCAGCAGCAGTGGCATCCATCCCAACAATCAGACCACCAAGAACCCAACACAACCATGGCAATGCCCACAGCACTACAGTCTGGCAGATTCAAAGTACTGTGCAAGGCCACTCTGCTTCAACACAAGAGGTTTTCAGACACTCAATGCAAAATCATAATCATTCCAGATGGGTGGGAAAGGCAGATTATTCCATGTCAGTGAAATTCTGACATGGGGAAAAAAGCCATGTGATCACCAGAAGGGAAACAGCCTCAGTGCTGAGTCACCCTGGAGAGCCCCAGGACCTCTGCTCCTCTGTGTGCTCACCCTTGAAACCCCTTGAAAGGCCAGCCAGGCCTGAGCATCTCACAGGCACAGGAGAACTCCAGACAAGCATTTACTTCGTGTCCTTCTCATTTCTAGTAAGGAATATTTATCACAGGGGAATTTTATCCAAATAGAATACAGAGGCTGCAAATTAACTGCAGTTTCCCCACTTCATTAAGCAGAAGCTTACTCAGAAGTTGAGAGCAGAGCCTTCCTTCCATGGAACAGTGCTGCCTACACTCACATGTTTGTAATTTTTAGCCATCTCATAACGACTCACTGCCATGTGGGCCAGGAGGGTCCATGCTCAGAACTATAGGCAAAGTTCACAGACAGAATGGTACAGCAAAACCAGAGGTATTTTGAGCAGCTCAGATCCCACTGTGCACTTTGTTCTGCCACTCCTTATCCGACTGGTGCTGCAGTTTACCCCTAAGCAAGTTTTAAATCAATCATTTCAAAAAGAAGAAACCCCACTAGTTTTACTTTGATGGCCCTGCCTGCTCAAACTATCTCATGCTCCACTTTTTTCTCCTAACTCATCCAAAGGGGAAGACTCCACAACCAGTTCACACTCGGGTCTGGTGAGGGACCACATGGGAAGCAAAGAAGCATGTCCCACATCTCAGAAGAAAGCGACGGGACTGGGGCTTTGCGCCCCTCGAGGCGCGGCCTCAAGATCTCCTGCCCCGCACCCTCCGACCGCACACGGGGCTCGACGCCGCCCAGGCTGCGAGCACAGACCTGAAGCGGCGAGCACAGCACTTCACGGGGCTGCGGGGCCGGGTTTCCGCGGAAAGCCTCTCGCTGGCGGGGCGGGAGCGGGAGCAGAGCCATGCCCTGTCCGCGGATGACACCTGGCGGCTGCTGCTGCTGCGGGACCAGCGCGCCCCGCGGCTCCGGGCTGCCCCGAGAGCGGCTCCCGGGACACGGCAGCCGGGACGGGCCTCGCTGCCGCGGGGTCACCACGCTCCGGGGAGCGCCAGCACCGGCGCGGCCGTGCGCCCATCCGGGCAGCACCGGGACCTTTGTTTCAGCGGCAGAAAGCAGAGTCCGGACTACCCTGCTCTGGGCCGGGGTTCTCAGGCACAAAGGCGGCAGAGAGCCACCAACCCGCGCTCCCCGGGGCTGTGCCGGGGCACGGCAGGAGCGCCGCAGCTTCAGGAGCCACCCGTGACTTGGCCACAGCCGAAGCACAAAGGGCCACATGCCAGCGCTCCCCGGACCCGCCGCTCACCGCCGCTGGGGCGCGACACGCCGGAGGGGCGGCGGCAGCATCCGAACCCCCCCCCGCCCCGGCCCTCCCGGGGGCACCGAGGGGTCCCGTGGCCGGGGGGGTGCGGAGAGCGCCGCCCGCCCGCCCCGCGGCGCCCCGGGGCGGAGCCGCCGGCAGGTCGGGAGCCGCCGCGGCGGGTCTGGTTTGAATTAAGGCTGCCGGGGCAGCCGGGCTGGGGCCCGCCGCCAGCACAAAGGCCACCGCAGCCCTCCACCCCGGCACGGCTGGGCACCGCTGCGATCCCCTGCGGGAGCCCGTCGAAGCGGGGAGCCGGGCTGTCCCCCCAGCTCGGCCCGGCCCGGCCCACCCTGCCCCGCCGCCCTGGCCCCGCACCCGGCCCCGCTCCGCACCCGGGCCCCGCCGCCCCACGTGCGCCGCGCCCGCCCCGCTCCGCTCGGCTCACCGGGACAGCAGCCTGGAAGCAAAGGGCCACCAGCCACAGGGCCACCACGTTTATCATCCTTCCTCCTCGCCGGGCCTCGGGAGCGCGCAGCCTGCCCCTGCTTCCCGCCGTCTCCAACGCCGCTCTTGCTCCGCTCCTCTTAGAATTGTTTTAAGTAGCTGCGGGTTTGCTCCCTTTTCTGGTTTCTTTTTTGTTTTGTTTTATTTCCCTCCTTTTTCCCCTTCGCACGCAGCCTAACCAGCCTCCCAGCAGCGCTCTGCGATGGCGAGGAGTTGAACTCTGTCTTTTAATGAACCCACTGCAACAACCTTCACCTTACGGCCACCCCCCGGCCGGCCCCGCCTCCGCTCCCCTCCCCTCGGCTCGGCTCGGCTCAGCCCGGCTCCCCAGCCCGGCCCGGCCGGCACGCCCGGCCCCGCCGCCCGCCCCCGCTTCCTGCCGCGCTACCTGCGCCGGTGCCCCCTCCCCGGCCGCTCTGCCCCGCTCCCCGGCCGATCCCCCGGCAGCCGCCGCTTCCCTTCCCCTGCATTCCCAGATTTCCTCTCTGGCAGAGGCATTGCTCCCGCCGAGCTTCCTTCCCTCTCGCTAAAAATAATAATTCAAAATAATAATAATAATAATAACAATAATGATAACGGTTACAAGCTTTTCCCCCGTTTCACTGTGGGAAAAGCCCGGGGGCGCTCGGCTGTCTCCCCCCGGCGCCGCTCCGGAGAGAGGGGCGGGAGCGCTCCCCGGTGGCCCCACACCCAGGGCAACCTTCCTAGATGCCGGTCACCTCCAGCGGGGGCTTCTCCCCCAGAAAATGCGTGTCTGGGGAAGTGAGGTGTCTTCCCTCCTGCTGGCGGGTCCCCGGGGCCGGCCCCGTAGCCTCTGCCCGTGCCTTCGTGCACACGTTTTTCTGCTGCTCGGAACGGGATTTCTGGCAGCGTAAAATGCTGCGAGAGGTTTGCGGCAAAAAATGCCGCTTTGAAAGAAGCGGCAACTCGCCCTTTTTTTTTTCTGGAGTTAAAAGCGACTTCAGTGCTGCTGTGGCTTGGTCTTCACACGTCCCACCGAGGATGGCAAAAATGAGGCAACAACCATCCAGCAAAAACACACCGCAGGACGAATTGTATCACCCTTCCACGGGGTCAGGGCTGGAGTTCCTGTTCCAGTCCATTCATTTGTTTTGTTTTATTTTCTCTGCTTGTGCCAGCACATGTTGAAATGTTTGCTATAAACAATGCAGCTGAATGTGTGTGCAAATATTATTTAGAAAAAAAAAAAAAGCCGTTTTTAGGAACTTTTACAGCTGCTGGAAGCTGTAGCAGCACACACTGGCCACATGGCCAATGGGCACAGCATGGCCATGGCACAGCTGGATGGATGAGGGATGTGGTTAAGGCTGCAGCCATTGGGCCCTGCTGCCCTGGAGCTGCTGGGGAGAGGGGTAACCAAAAAAGAGCCTTAACTGGTGTTTCTTGGTTGCTCTGGAGGCTCTCGGTGGGTGTTGGTCAATCTGTGCCAGACCCAGGATCCCTTCCCACAGCTGTGCCCCAAAGGCTTTATAGCCCTAATTGGATATTCAATGTGGCTAAAACTGTTGAGATTTTATCATGTCTTTAATTACCTTGCTTTCTTTCCCTCTCTCTTAAATTACTCATGCACCTCCTACCACCCTGCCTTTCCCTCACGTGAGCTGTGAGCCGTGGCCACCAGGTTCTTCTTCCTGCCATGTCTTGGACCTGGTGCCACCAGAACATTGGACATGAGACTTTTGGGACAGGGCTTGGGTCAGAGGTGCTTGGTGCTGGGCCTGCAGAGCACGAGGCTGAAAATATCACCCAGACTTGATGGGTGGGTGGTGACATCCATCTGCATGGTCATTGCAGGAAATGCATGCTGGGCACAGCCAGCCTTTTCAGCAGATTTTGATGGATCAGGGGTCACTTTGGCCAAGGCTGCATCTGGTGGACCCTGGCAGCACAGTGGAGGGAGGGAACACTTCCAGAGCACTCCTGAGAGCAGTGGCAAGCACTACTGGGGTTGAGTGGCGCTGGGTTTCATGCCAGCATGGGCCTCTGTGTCTCCTCAGTCAAATAGGACTGTGGTGCTTCTTGTTGGATTGGCCAGAAAAGGTTTAGAGCTTGATTGGGATGTTCTGGTCGGGATCTGTGAATGGGGTGAGAGAAGAACAATGCAGTGTTCGGAAGCCAAGTGTTTTCAGTGACATTCCCGTGCCCTCCGCTTGATCATTGAAGCATGTTAAGTATTGTGGTTTCAGTCAAAAGAACTCCATGCTGAAAAGCCAGATGAGACTTGTATGGAGAGGAGTTTCTTGGCAGCCTGGAGCTCAGGGGATCATAGGAGCTGGTTGCCTCTGCCCAGTACAGTGGAGCTGTGGGGATTTCCCAGAATTGGATCAAGGGCTTCCAGCAGTGTAGCCCAATTGAACTCAGTTTCCTTGGGGAAAAGGAGCTGGTTTGAACTGTGTGCTGCCATGGGAAGAGAGGAAACACAGCCATGGGAGGAATCCTGCTCACTGCTTCTGCTACCACCAGAGGCGAGCTGGGAGCAGGGATGGCAACTGCTGCTGTTGGGCAACCACCACCCTTCTGCACTGGGCTCTGGAGCAGAAGCCATTGTCCCCTGCCCCGATGAATGTGAGTGTCACACAGCAGCAGGAGCTGCCTGCCTGGCTTGCCAGGTGTCAGAGCCACCCACAGTAGTGTGTGAGGATGTGCCGCTGTTACTCTGTGTCCTCACCCCAAGCTGCACGTCAGCAGCAGTGCAGCCTGCAGAGCAGGTGACTGATGGATGACTCCTGAAGCCTGGTGCCATAGCCTGGTGTCCTTAGATGGCTCATTAATGGTCTGTGACCAGGTGGGGTAGGGTTAGAAAAAGGGTTAGATTCTGCTTTGAGTTCCTTAACAAGGGCTGGACTGTACCTGTGGCATCAAGGTGGACAGACTCACACATCACTTCTCAATGATTTCATCAGCTGGCAAACTTAACTATGCTACAGCCCAACATCTTGGGATGGAGAAGAGAAATATATTCCCTAACACACAGTGGGAGGTTAGAGTATGTGCAAGTATTGAGATTGCTGTAAGTGTCCAGGCTGCCCACCTGCTGGGCTTGACAGCTCACTGCTCACATGTGCTATTTCTGGTTGGCATCATGTATCTGGCTTCCGAGGTGATGGTTGCCATTTTCTCTGTTGTTGTTTTTGTGACAGAGAAAGAAGTCTGGTTTTCCCCCTATGTGGTAGCTCAGTTGGCTAAAGGGGATTTGTAAGAACAGGAAACCCCCAGCTCTTGTGTGTGTTTCACTTCTCAGGTATAACATGTAAGCAAGGCTTTAGGTGAAACCCTGAATTTCTGTGGTGATAGCTGAACAGCACAGAGAGGAAAGAGGGTGCCTCTGAACACATGAGGCAGTAACAGGATGTTAAATATATTTAGTTAAATGCATTCAGATTCAGTCTGCCCTAGAAACTTATTGGAGTGAGGTGGGAGATGCACCCAAAAATAAAAGGGATGGTATCTGGGAAGGGCAAAGTACTGTCACTGACAGTGCCTTTGACATCAGGGTTTCCCATGCATGGTGCCCCAGAATGGTGAGCTGACAAGAAGCTTTGATCAGTGAGCTAATACCTGCAGATGGAAGAGGAAGGATTGTCCTGGCAGGAGTAGGTTAGGACAGCGTGGCTGGTGACCTATTTGGAGACTGTGTAGACCAGGAAGATTTGCAAAGTTTCATTTGCTGCTAGCCTGGAGCTTCTCTTCTTCTTCCCCTTTCAAGTTCCTCAGGCCAGTGTCTCTATTATCCATGGCCCACACCACATCCTTCTCTTTCTAACTCCATGCAGTAACAAAGGAGCAATCTGCCCAGTCAGTAAATGAATACAAGCATTAAGAACGAGTCTGAAGAGGAAGCAAGCTGGATCTTCAGCCTCAGATTACCAAGAGCTTGTCTGCCAGAGTGCAACATTTGTTGTCCAGCCGTTGTGCTACTCATCTTCTGGGTCCCCAGACACAGGGGCCACTGCTCACCAGGCCATTTCTCTTCGTTCAGGCTGGTGGCACCAAATACAACTAGCTCTTCCTAACTCCTTGCATGCCTTGGCAAATCCTGTGCATTTTGGTTTGGATGTCCTTTTGCACTGATGTAGAAATAATTGATTCTGACCCTTTCACATGCAGCTGTGACTTCAGCAGGATCACCTGAACGCACCCAGTTTGCTTGCACAGTGATATCTGATTTTGCCTGTTCTGTCCAGCCGCCTTTGCAGTGAGTCAGACATCTCTGAGCAATTCCATCTCCTCCTGGCTTGCACTCCCAGGAAGTGAGAGACCGGAGGAGACTCCCTATGGCCCACCCTAAGGTGTGGAGCGTGCAGTTAGCCTGAGGCCATGTCTGCTCTGATCTCCTTTCTTCTCCTGGTGTAATGCTCTGATGGAAAGGATGACCTTGCTTACTTGGACAAGAATAAATCTTCTTGTAAAAAATCAGAGGTTGGGGGTTTTTTCTGCTTAAACAATGCAAAGTGTAATGGTCCAAGTGTTAGGGTAGCTGTAGTGCTGGCTTTATAGTTGCTAATTGAATCAACTTGGCTGCCTCTCCCAAGAGTTTGCTGACCTTTTTTTTTCTCCTCTATCCCCTTTCCCTTTGTTCTGCTAGTGAGAACTTCTGTGTGGACACTGAAAACTATGTATAAATATGTCTGTGCCACTAACCAAATAATTCTTGACCTAATTAAGCAGACCTTCCTTTGGCAAAAGCTCAGCTGGCAGTGGCATGCCACTTTTGTGATAGTTTTCATAAACAGCTGTAATAAAAGCAGCTGCATTGCTTTGATGCTTCATGTGAGGGCCTGGTAGGATCCTGCATGCTCATTCCAGAGAGCCTCAGAGCTGGATTTTGGGGGCTGGTGCATGAAAACCTATGGAGGGGTTTCCCATTAGCCTGGAGTTACACGGGTGTTGCCCACAAGAAAAGACTGACTCGCTCTCTCTTAATGAGGACTTTTCCTGTAGTACTGGATGCTGCTTTCACTGTTCAACAATTTTCGC